TTCGCAAGCACGAGTGGCTTGCATCTTCAGAAGTGGTTTGCTTGAACGCTTACACTGTTCTCATCAGAACCCGTTCAGTTCTTCCGCAGAACTGAACTCGGGTTCTGATGAGAACAGTGTAAGCGTTCAAGCAAACCACTTCTGAAGATGCAAGCCACTCGTGCTTGCGAAACGTCAGGAAGAAATTCCATTTTACGACGGCCTAAAAACCCGAAAAACTCATTAGTTTAATGCTTCTAAATCCTCCTATTTGGTAGAGCGACCGTTTTCTATGGAATCTTAAAACTGAAAATTTCAAGTTTATTTACATTTGCTTCAGTAAAGTATGGTCGCGTTCAAATCGGTGAAAATGCGTCGAGACAAACACCAGTTCGCAGATCATTTGGTTTAGAAAACGAGCAGGACGTTAAAAGCGTAACAACACAAGTACATACATGTAATTACGTGTTTGGCGCTAATAACTGGTTGTTTCGCGTACACTAATCTGCTAATTCCTTTTCAATTAAACTAGTGGCAGGCCGGTAATAAAATACCCAATAAACTACCCATTAATGATTCTGCTACCGATCGACTTGGACATTTATGTAATGGAGAAACACGCTCTGTAGCGAATGTTTTCGGGAATTTGTATCCGATCTGTGCAGCAACTGGTCCAAACTCGTGCTCCTTAATTGAAATGAGCAGGATATCCAGGTTTAGAAACTGTTTGTTTTCTTTGCCATGGAATCGCAGATTCGGGATTTAATGGGCCACGGGACTTATTTTTAGTAACACTTCGGGTATTTTTTCCGCTAATCACTCTGTTTGCTTTTGCCAGCCCGTTTTTCACAAAAACACCAAAAATGTTTCCTTTCTATAATCGTGACGTCAAATTATCCCCCAGCGGTTTAAATCAGGTCAAAGTTTTTCTAATTGGAAGCCAATTCAATATTCAGTAATTCTTGCAAAATTGTGGTAGAAAAATCGGTTCTGTTAAAGATTTACGAGCGTCGCGCGTTGATCGGCCGGTATGCAAAACGGCAGCCAATTACAGTTTTTTCTTATAAAACTGTCCACAGTTCAGCTGCTAATTATTCGAATCATTGCCGACATGATAAGGCTATTTAAGTGAGATTGAGCGTTCATAGCGATACATTTACATTTTTACAAACTTCTTTTTGCGTATTTTGCCTCAAAAATTTTTGTCTTTAAAAAAGACAGAATTTCCTCACGTCTTTTATTACAGATTGATAAATAGTGCTCCTAATTCGCAATAAGAACGAA